TTTTTTTTTTTTTTTTTTTCTGTTTTTTTTCAGACAAGGGGGATTGCTCCCCTATTTGGGAGGGAGAGAAGAGAGGCTCGGACCTCGGCCGTGAGCAGCCATTAGTGCTTGGAAGGCCTTCTCCTCAATTAGAATTTAGAACTACTTTTATAGACCAAAAACACCTTAGCATTTGTATTCACATAAGTCCAAGGATGAGATAAGACAGCTTCTTCCACAAATCACAAACCAGAAAACGTGTATATATATAAAAAGTGTGTATTTCCTATAAATGAACATTATATTCCATGCATACACTCATCTACACTTATTTCTACAATTTCCTTCTCTCCCTCTTCCAATTCCAAGTGCAGAAGAATATTAATATACCAAGTCCACTTTATCTCTTTTCTCGTAGTTTCCTCCCCTTTCTTTAAAATCCATAAAATTCCCACTCCTTCCCTCCCTTGCCATGAAGAAAATGGTGTCATCTTCTTTAATCTCCCCTCCCATTTCCTGCTTCATTTACCAGCTCCTCCTCTACCTTTGAAAACCTTTCTTGTTTTTTTTCATTATACTTTACAACCTTTCTTTTTTTTCTTTCTTTCCTGTTTATGGGGGCTGGGGTTTCTGGGTTTGCTGCAGATACTCAGAGAGATTGTCAGTTGACTCCCAGTCTCGGGGATGTGCCGGAAAGTTGTATTTCGTCTATTTTTATGTACTTGGATCCCCCAGAGATCTGTAAACTAGCAAGCTTGAATCGGGCTTTCTGTGGCGCTTCTTTGGCTGATTTTGTGTGGGAAACCAAGTTGCCTTCGAATTATGGATATCTTGTTCACAAGGTGCTCGATCGAAGTCCCAAGAGTCTGAGCAAGAAAGAGATTTATGCAAGATTGTGCAGACCAAATCGGTTCGATGATGGCACCAAGGTAATTCTATTTCGTGGATCTGTTAATTAGAGTTGAATCGAAATATCTGGCATCATTTTCTTAAACCCATATGAATTGTAATGCAAATTGTTCTTAAATTTCTTCTCTTTATCTAAATTGAAGGAAGTTTGGTTGGACAAGAGGAGTGGGAAGCTCTGCCTATGCATTTCGGCCAAGGCCTTGAAGATAACCGGAATAGATGATCGGAGATATTGGAATCATATTCCCACTGAAGAATCCAGGTGAAATTTAATTTCCTTTGATTTTTTCTACTTTTTTCTTCCGAAAGACTTTATATTCGATTCTTTTCCTCCCTTTATTTCCCAACTGGGTGGTAGTTGGATTGCCACGGGAGAGCACTATAATTTTGAGGATCCCATAATTGTATTTCCCCAATTGGTTTGAAGTTCAGTTTCCATGGAAAAACGCCTCCACTTTGGAGACCCCACATCTCATATAGTCATACACTCGTAGCAACAGAAAGGGGTGTTCGGTTGGGGGAATTAACTTTTTAAAACTCCCTCCTTGTATTATTTAGGTATTATCACACTTATTCGTCTCAAAAAAAAAAAAAAAAAAGGTATTATCACACTTATTTTTCACTCCTAAATCATAAAGCTTTTTTCCCACTATTTTTTGTAAAAAAAGGAAATTTTCCCTGTAACTTTTTCTTGTATTGACCCATTAAACAACTTTCTTTATTAACTTTCTCTTATATCAATTTTTTATTAGACATAATAAAATTAATACTTTAATAAAATTCTAACAAAATTTTATTATAAAACTTAGCAACTTTTATTATAGAACTTTCCTAATAAAGAGACCTTCTAACCAAAACGGCCTTAGTGGAATATCTTGCCATTAAAAGTGCTAGGTGCCCAGCTCTGCTCTCGAAAATCTGTTCATTTTTTCCTGGACGTGATTCAACTAAGCATTTAGATTTTTCCCTTTACCTTTCCTTGTATCACTGATTTTTGAAAATGAGAAGAAGAATAGACTGAGGGAATAAAAAACTGCAACTTGCGCCGAGTAGGACAGAGACTGGTCAAGTTGGATATCTTAGAAGAAATATACATACTTGGCAGATATGTCCTCTTTTATATTTTCAATGACTTGCCTTGTCACTAAAGCATTCAAATTTTATTTTTTTCTTTTTGCTTAGTAGATGCCTTGTGTAACAGATGCATAATTATAATATTTCTTCCAAGAATTCTTACTATTTTTCCGAATTAGTTTTGCTTGGAAATGTTGAATTTGTGTTTGGACTTTGCCGCAAACATCAGAAACAAAAGATGTGGCACCGTAAGAATGGTGGTTGTCACTTTCTCTTGGTAAAATCTTGCCCAAGATGCTTATTGTTCTAAACAACCTTGGAAGATTTCCTGTCTTGAAAGATGAGACATTTCTGCCCTAGGAAATAGTGAGAAAATGACATGGGATCGATGTTCATTGATGTGTAGGTTCCAAACAGTTGCATATCTTCAACAAATTTGGTGGTTTGAAGTAGAGGGGGAATTAGAGTTCGAATTTCCATCGGGTTCCTACAGCCTTTTCTTCAGGCTGCATCTAGGCAAACCCTCAAAGAGATTTGGCAGACGGGTCTATAACCTTGATCAATTACACGGTTGGGACATTAAACCTGTCAGGTTTCATCTATCAACCTCAACTGGTCAGCAAGCCTCATCAGAATGCTGTCTCTGCGATCCAGGAAACTGGGTCTATTACCATGTGGGTGACTTTATGATTGAGAATTCAAGCACCCCAACGAAGATCAAGTTCTCGATGATGCAGATAGATTGTACTCATACAAAAGGAGGTCTATGTGTAGACTCTGTGTTTATATATCCTAGTGAGTTTAGGGAGAGGTTAAAGTAGTATATAGCTTGGTATTGTGGATACATAAAATGGGGCAATTCAAGAGAAGAATGTGGGTTTGTTTTTTGTTGGTCCACGGATGTAGTTTGCCTATGAAGAAATGTTCATGTGCTTTCAATACTTTTTTAGTTTCAAATGTTCATTGTGTCTTTGCCTTTTGTAAGTTAGTACAGTACATTTGGTGAGGAAAATGGTGTTTGGTTTGATGAATAAATTGAAAGAGCAAGTTTCCATTGTAATGAGTTTCTTTTAATAAAAATGTAATGAGTTCTGTCTTTCTTCTGGCTCTTGTGCAGATGCAGATGCCTTCTAGGGTTGGCCCAAGTGCATCACTTTGGGCCTAAACATGGGTTGTAACTACTTACTAGTTGGGACGCTTACTAGTTAGGACGCTTTAGCATTCTTATCCAAGGAGAGAGCCTGTTAGGTTATGGTGTGGATTGGTTTGGATGTTTTGAGTGGCTTTAAACTAAAAGGTGAACATTCGATTCGAAAAAAGGGTGAAAATTGATGATGGCTCAAAAAATATAATTTGAGGTTTGGGGTTGTACGGCATAATTTTTTTTACTAGTAGTTGCTAACAAGCCTTTTTTTTTTTTCTCCTTTTAAGTTTGGAAAATTTTTTATTTGTAGTTGTATTTAAAGTATTTTTAAGTGAATTTTGAAGAAAGCAAGTAGAAAATCAAAGATAATTTATTTTTAGGCGCCAACTTTACGCAATCTATGTATGGATTCTGCCTTCTCATTTTACTTTTTGGCGGAATTTAACCACAAGAATAGATGCGAGGATGTGAGTAAAATCATTTCAAACTTTTTTTTTTTTGTTGATCAAATCATTTCAAACTTTTTAAAACTAAGGGTATCTTTGTTTGATTAAAAATAATTAGAATTCGGCTAATTGAAGCCAGAGGGTAATGGAATAACTAATAGCAAGTGACAATAATGGATAACAAATAATTGGACATATAGCGCTTACTACCAGATCTGGAGTTATAGGGGTATTAGATATTGATTGACATAATTATTTAGTTATATGATGACTACTACTATTTAATATTTATATATGAGTAGAGATTTAATTACACATAAATTTTATATATTATTGTTAAAGTTTATTTGGTATAGCATGGAGATATCAGTTAGTGATTTTTTGTCTAAATCACTAAAAATAAGTGTTCGATAAACTTATTTATTTTGAAATAATTACAAATTAAGTGTTTAGTAAAACTTTTTATTTAATGATTTATGACTAATGGATAGCAATTAGAGTTCAAACCACTAGCAAATTTAAAAAGTTACTTTAAGTAATTTTTTGTACCAAATTGCTAACAAATTGAAATTTTTTAATTTGATCAACAAATTTATTTTTTTAAATTTTTTAATTTTAGGCCATGAATTTTAATTAGTACTTATTTAATTAGTTTCAACTTTATTTTTTTTGTCTTTAGTAATATTAAGTAATTATTATATTTTTATTTTTATATTAATTTATCATAAATTATATTAGTTTAATAAATAAAATTTACTAATTAGACAAAAAAATTAATTTTTTTACTTTATTTAAAACTAATATAATTTTTTTATTAAAAATAAAAATTAATGTATGATTACATTATTCTAATTTATTTATTTATTTATTATTATTATTTTTATAAAATTAATAATTTTAATAATAAAAAATATAAAGAAAAATATATTTAATTATTTTTAAATATGTCCTTATTAGTTATTTGATTTTAAATAACAACTACTAATCATTGTATAAGAAAAAATATATTTAATTATTTTTAAATATGTCCTTATTAGTTATTTGATTTTAAATAACAACTACTAATCATTGTATAATTAAATATTTATATTAGTTGAATATGCTATTTACTATCCACTACTTGTTTTCCATTATTTGCCACTCGCTTTCTGTTATTTGATGCCCGCTATCCACTATCTATTACCCACTACATGCTATCCACTATCTATTACCCACTACATGCTATCCACTAAATTTTAACTACTATACCAAATAGGCTCTTACATAAATTTCAGACATTTATGTCTTTACTTTTAATGATTGTAATTTATTCACATTAATTAAAAATAATGATCTTTTTTCACCTAAAAAGTCATAAAAAAATTTCAATTGTTGAAAGTAGAGAGATAAATAATTAAGATTTTATATAAGTATAGTATATAAAACTAGTTTGTGGATGGATGCCACTTCTATATATATATATAATTTTAATAATTTATTTTTTTACTTTTAATGGTTGAAATTTATTACAATATTTTAGGTGATATATATATGAGAAGAGATCCACTTATATACAATTATTACGCATTACACTTATATAGAATTTTGATCAATCATCTCTTTATTTTTAATGGTTGAGATTTATTTATATTTATTAAAAATAATTGTTGTTTTCATTTACAAAGTCGTAATAAATCTTAATTATTGAAAGTATAAAAATAAATAGTCAAGATTTTATGTAAGTATAATATATAAGATTTGTATAAAAGTGAATCCCTCCCCTATATGTGTATATATATATATGTATGTATAATAGTTGCTGATTGGAGTTGAATAACTAATCAAAACAAAATTAAAAATATTTAATTCTATTATTTTCTTCTTTTTCATATTTTCATGCAGCCCTAATTTCACTTGTAATTGTTTCTTTTTAGCACATAAGAATTAACCTGCTTAGTATTTCCAAGATTTTGAATTATTGGCCTTACATTTCGGATAAGTTTATAATTGTTTCTTACACTCCTTTTATTTGGTTTGAAGTAAATAGAGGAGAGAGGAGGACAGGGACTTCTTCTTCTTCTTCTTATTCCCCTTTTTTTTTTAAAAAAAAAATGCTTTTGCTTTCATTTTCTTTGTGTATTTTAACATAATTAAATTAGAGGAAGAAAGAGGCCATTGGTTAATCTATCATATAATGATTTGAACGAAATTGCCGTTAATTAATCTTAAATCGTTAAACAGAACGAGTCCAAGATTAAAGAGAACAACATTGGCCCTAAAAAAATTCAAGAAAACAAATCGGTCCAAATCCAAATCTAACTAATATTATCGCATAGAAAGTCAAGGACAAAAAAGCTAGCAGCATAATTTCTCTTTTTTGGGTTCCTTGGTTGGTGGGGTTTTGCTTCTAGCATTTCCACCAAGACCAAATAGAAAAAATTGTGGGTGAGGTTTGCAGGTAGGGTAATGAAGACACTAATATTTATTAAAGTTATACAAAAATAATATAAATGTAGTTAATTTGAATGTTAAAAATAATTAATAATTATAACAGTTGATTAATATATTCATTTTGTCCTAGAATAATAGATGCTTTTTAATTTAAAATTTGTCTCTGCATAATAATCATTTTGAGACAAATAAATTTTTTTTATTAAACCTTATGACTATTTTTTAATTTTAATTATTCATCTGATTATAAAAAAAGTATTTATTTTTATTTTTTAAAGGTAAAATAAGTAAAGATAGAAATTGTCATTAAATCTTTAATCCCAAGATAAAATAAAAAAAAATTATTATTCTAGAACAAAGAAAATAGATTATAAAAATACTTAATATCTATAATTTGACAATTTAAAAAATATATAATCAGAATAGGAATTTACTTATACACAAATCTTATGTATTACACTTACATAAAATCTTAATTATTTATTTGTTCACTTTTCATGGTTGAGATTTATTCACATTTATTAAAATTTAATAATAAACTACATTTTTATATTAATGAATATAATTTTCTTCCCTGTTTCCCTCTTAATGGAAAGCAAAGAATTTGCTAAAGGAAGTTATTAGTATTCCATATCAACTGCTACTATATCAGCTGCTGAAGTAGTAGTATAAGTACTTACTCATAAAGATTGAAATTTCACTCTATACCATACACTGGACTTGCACTAGATTTGTAATCATAAACAGAGAAAAGAAGGGGGAAAATATAAACAATGAAATGAAAGTATTTGAGGATAGATATCATCTTCACTGCTTCCTCTTATTCAATCTTTCACACCCCTCCCTTTTCCTTCTTGACTACCAGATTCGGAATGTCTTCACAAGCCATTCATGTCTTCTTGTAAAAACAATGTTTCCAATAACCAGACTGATGAGGATTCCAAATCCATAACCCAACAACACTAATTTCCAACCAAATTCACCTAACAATCCAGGGTCTTCATTTCTTTCAGAGGTTGAAGATGGCGGAGGCAAAACGTTGGAGTTGTAGTAGTGACATTTCCTTGACAATGGCATTCCACATAGCCCTGAATTTCCATCAAAAGAGCTGTTTTCAAATGTTTCAAATTGTTGAACTTTTGAGATATAGATCCTGTCAAATGGTTGTGAGACATATTGAAGACTTCAAAGAAAAAGAGTTGTGTCAACTGTTTAGGAATTCTTCTTGTGAGCTTGTTTTGAGAATGGTCAAGTGTTTCAAGATTTGAGAGATATCCCCAGGCAAGAGGGATTTGACCATCAGGAATGTTATTGGAAAGATTGAGCAATTGAAGTCCCTTTAATTTACCAACTTCTTTTGGAATTTCTCCCTTGAATTTGTTGCAAGACAGATCAATGGCTGTGAAAGCCTCAAGGATCTTCCCATGGTCCAACTTGTTCCCTTTATTTGTTATAGTGTTGCAGAAGGCGCTAGGCACCATAAGGCAACAGACCTTTGCCCAGACCCTAAGTGAAGCCTCGAGAGCCTAGGCGATTTGTGCGCCATTTTTTTTTTAATTTCAAAAAATTCAGAAAAAATAGAAAAAATTAAAAAGAAATCAAATCAATGCCTAAACAAATTTCCAAAAGCAAAAATAACAGTTTTTTCCACTTTCCTCGTCATTAACTTCCAAAATATATTAACTTACTTATTTCATTTTAATGTGAAAGTTAGTAAAAGAGAAGCATACATATGAGATGGAATATAAATTAGAGGCTACAAAGATACTAAGAATTTGAGATAAATAAGAGGAAAACACAACAACCATGAAGTCCTTTACAACAATATGATAAACAAGAGGAAAACATAGCAACCATCAACTTCATTACAACAATCTAATAAACAAAAGGAGCCAAAAGTGCAAGATCATGGCCATACCCATTCTCCAAACTTGACAACTTGTACAAAATGTAATATACTAAATTGAAGTTAGTCAATAATAATATTATAATTATTTGCATTCTTTTCAAAATCTTGGTAGCTTGGAACTTGATAGCTTGTAACAACATTCCTGCATGTTAAAAAAAAAAAAAAAAAGAGGCAAAGTTGATAATGGTAATAACAAGTAGCCTATACAAAATAATATTCATAGATATTACATAGATGCAGAACAAACAATCCATATTTGCATTTAATTTGCTTTTTCATTATATATATAATATGATAAATTGATAAGAAAAATAGAATGATTTAAGTTGAAACCCGACTCAATTTAACATATAGTTAAATTCAATTGGGTAACTATAATAAATAATAAAAAAAACTGCATATTACTTTAATCTTTAACTTTTAAAAAAAATCTCCC